TACACACATTTTTTGGGGGACATAATTCAAACCATGACAGAGATGGATGAACAGAGTAGTTGCAACAACAGGCTCACACATAGACACAATTGTGAGGATGAAGCAGGATCAGTGTTTTGTTCTGCCGTACACAGGGTCGCTACAAGTCAGACCGACTCTATGGCACCTAATGACGGCAACATAATAAGTCTAAGGTTATAAAAATTGATGGAGTAGAAACATATGTGAATGTCTTTGTCTCTGCAAGATTTTTTTAAAGTAAAATAAAGAAATGAGTCTAATAGATTAATTTTAAAGCAATACAAAAATCTTACCGTTTTCCAAGAGGGAATAACAGATTCTTTAAAACATGAATGATTTGTTCTTTTACAATCAATTTTGGCTGACACAGTAAATCCTCTACTTCCCTGAATTTCAAACCATTCAGAGACCCAGCTTGAAACTACACTAATTACTGTATTGAGGTTGATAAAAACCTAATTGTTTTACATGACCATCAATGCCATCATTCAACTCAACAAACTCTTAGAAATACTTGAGAAAAACTCTAAACAAAACTAATTTTTAAATAATTTTCAAATAAGTACAGTTACAAAGAAAGAAACCTTAAATGACCATGACCTAAAGATCATACAGATTAAGGGAAATAAAATAACCTTGCTGTGTAAGGGTCCATACGAATATAAGTTTATGTGGGCAGTTGGGTAAAACACCAGCCCAGTAAAGGCAGCCCAACTGATCTTCACTTGAGCTTTAACTACATGTTCAAAGGGTTTGTTTCATCTGTTTGTTTTGATTTTCTAACTTGGTATAAATTTTGTAATTTTTTATACTGTTAGAGAGTAGTAACTTACGTTGTATAATTTATGTAGTTGATTTCATTTATTCTGGGTGATTCTATCACAGTTTTAACAGATATTAAAATATACTCTCCATCTGAATATTTAAAGTTGTTTATGGTTAGGCCTCCATATCGTAGCCGGGGCACCCCAAAGTTTACCAGTTTGAGAGTTTTTAAGGTAATTTTTTTAAAGCAAGGGGTGAAACGGCCCCTTAAACACTACATATTTTCCCCAAGCCTAGAAGAAATTTACATGTAACAACACTTTCCTCCAGTCTGTTAAATCAAATATTTCCCTGGCTCTGTAGCCCCCTGCCACACCCTGATTCCAACACTAAACTTAAGCATATGGCCAACATTCCTCAGAAAGTTTTCCTAAATTAAGTCAACAGTTTCAGAAGAAAAAAAAACAAAAAAAGTCAACTCATCCTTCCAATTTAATGAACTTTTGTAAATACAATTTCCATGATCAACTACCTTCTCCCTGTATTTGGCTGTGGGCTGCTTAGGCTAGGATCTTGACTCACGTTAATGTGCAAGAACGCCACTATACAAAGCTCATATATTATTCATTTACTATAAGTCATAAACAGTTGCTGTCGAGTCAGTTCCAACCATGGTGGTGTCAGAGTAGAATTGTGCTCCATAGGGTTTTCAATGGCTATCTTTTCAGAAGTAGATCATCACGTCTTTACTACAGGCTCAATTAAGTCCCTAATATGTAATAATGATATCTAGCAATAGCTTAATATAACATAATTAACTTATACAGTAAATATAATAACTTACATAGTAAGAAGTTTCATGTGAAAAATCTTATAGTAATGAAAGGATACCAAACCAAACCCCTTGCTGTTGAGTCGATTCCAACTCATAGTGACCCCACAGGACAGAGCTGAACTGTCCCATATGATTTCCAAGGAGCAGCTGGTGGATTCGAACTGTCAACCTTTTGGTTAGCAGCCAAGCTCCTAACCACTGCGCCACCAGGGCTCCACCGAGAGGATATAAGGTATTAATAAGTGCTTCCTAACTTAAACTCATATATCTAGAAAGATCCTCGCGAAATCACATTATTTCTGATTCAAAACTGCAGACTGATCATGCACATTTATTTCTTCTCTCTTCTGAAACCCATCCCTTTGCACCCACTAAATGATAGTGAAGAAATACAAAAGTCCAAAACAACAGAAGGATGAGGAAGAAGCAGACAGAGAGTAGCAATCAGTAGATAAGAAATTTCAACACATTTCTGGAAGGCAGAATGCAGGTGTAAAAGCAATGCTTGGTGACACAGAGCAGAGAAAGCTCTGACCTGCAATACATGCGAGGAAGAGGCTACTGATGAGGAAGAAGCCACCAGTCCTGGTGAACCCATAAAAACTTGCAGTCATTCAGTGTAAACAGACAATGTATAAGGAAAAGAACAGAACGCAAAAGTTGAGAGGCGAAGGAAGAGAAGTGGAAGGAAGGGCAAGGGCTAATATCTTCATCTTATGAAGCTGGGAGCCTACAGACACTATCTATGGTTGTTGTGAAACTAAATAAAAGTATACTAAGTGTTCATCATTATTGCATAGATACTGCGCTAAGTAATAACTGTGCTGTGTGCCAAACACTTACTGAGGCTTTTTCGGGGGCTGTTCATTTAACTGTATAATAAAGTACTTAAAGCAATCCCTACAAAAGAAAAAGTAAAAAACTACAGGGTAACTAACCAACACATGAACCAATATTGGTGATATAATCATATTAAAGAGAAGAAAGATAAGGTGTACAGTGAAAAGAGACTCACATCTCATATATCAGAGCAGAAAGTCAAAATATAATAATGTCTAAAACTGATAAATCAAAAAAAAAGAGGCATACATATTATTTAGAGATACAAAGATCATCCCAGAAGAACTAAACAATGAACCAGTTAAAAAGATTTAAAATTGATTCCCTCAGGAAACAGGACTGTGAGTGGGGAGATATGGGAGAGAGGTCTACAGCTTTCATATATAAAACTTTCTGTACTATTTACATTTTTAACCATGTTAATGACGTGTACTTTGGTCATTTCTTTTAAATATAGTTAATTTTTTTTGTTGTTTAAAAAAAAGATAGTAATCTAATCTGTCCTACTATCTCAGACAGGTAAAATTCTTTTGTATTTTAATGGTTTCCAGAAAATGGTCTAATAACACAAGGTTAACAAGTCATCATGCCAGAAATTTCTCCTTTAATGTTACATTTGGTAAATTAATATAAAGCATTTCTACAGAACACTGAGATCTGGCTCCTATGGCCTGTACCAGTAAAACACATAGTCCATGGTCTAAATGGCACTGTTTATCCATCTATCCCTTCTTTAACATCTGTATTCTTTATTCCTCTTTTTAAGAATAACCAGTTGCCATCAAGCCTATTCCCACTCATTGTGACCCCATGTGTGGCAGAGTAGAATTGTGCTCTATAGGGTTTTCATGGTTGTGACCTTTCAGAAGCAAATAGCCGGGCCTTTCTTCCAAGGCACCTCTGTGTGGGTTTGAATTGCCGACCTTTCAGTTAGTATCCAAACGTGTAACCATTTGCACAACCCAGGGACTAGAGAGACTTTAATACACTGCTCACCACAGATTCAAGAGAGAAAATTCCTGGTGATTTACTGATACTAACTAACCAAAACTACTATCATTTCCATACTAGGCTAGAGTTCAGCAGCAGTAGTAATGGCAGAGAAGGGCTGATGCAACCTAGACTGATGCTGTTATGGACTGAATTGTGTAGTCCAAAAATACGTGCTGTAAAACCTAACCCCTATACCTGCAGTTATAATCCCATTTGGGAATAGGTTTTCTTTGTTATGTTAATAAGGCGGTATTAGTGTAGGGTGTACCTTGAGTCAATCTCTTTTGAGATATAAAAAAGATTAAACCAGCAAGCGAGAAGTAGAGATGGGGGAACACAGGTGTTAAGCCACATGAAGACTGCCTAGGAATAGAAGAGATAAGGACTTTTCTCCAGAGCCAAAAGAGAGAGAAAACCTTCCCCTCGAGCTGACACTCTGAATAGGGACTTCTAGTCTCCTAAACTGTGAGAAAATAAATTTCTTTGTTAGAGACATTCACTTGTGGTATTTCTGTTACAGCAACACTAAATGACTAAGACACACGCTATGGATGGTGGGCTGCATCAATAGATCTTGTACATAATCCATCTGAGGTCACAAACCAGTGGCCCAGGACCTCAAGCCAGCCCACATAAACATTTGCTTTGGTATACATGATGTTGGCCCACAATGTTTCAGATTTTGAAAAAGTAGTCAACATCTAAGAGAACTGATAGAATTCATATAAAATCCGTATTTCTACCTCTTTCAATAAATCACTAGAGACAGTTCCCTTTTGATGGGGTAGGTATGCTCCAATTTGCCATCATAGCCCGTTTCTCTCTTTTATGTTAGCAGTCTCACCCCTGTAGCCATTTATATTTTTGACTCTTGTTATAAAACAGATAACACGTTAACACTCCTAACCCATGCCATGAGTCCCTGAGCTGGGGCTCTGACACTCAGGTAGCAATCAGGAGTACATCAGAGGCATTGATTCTCAGAAGCAGTGGTTCCAAAAGGGGGTTAGTAGCAGTGGTAGACAGCAGCCATTCCTATCTAAAAACTGTTTGTAAATAGACATTTTAAAGCAGTGGACTTTCTTTATTGAAGTATTACATAAGAGCTGGCTATGGAGAAAAAATAATTAAAGAATTACTATGCTTACCTAAAACTTAGGAATTTCGCTGCATGACTATCTGACTGCAACTTATTCCTATCAACTGCCTTACTTTGACTAGAACTAGGATTGAATGACAGATAAAGAAAGTAGTAAATCCTAGTGATCAATATCTGAGGAGATAATACCTAACTGCTGGAAATAAAAACTAAAGCAGAAAGTCCAATAACTAACATTGTAATCTGCGTTTGGGGTAAAATAGTCATCATTTGGAGCCCTGGTGGCGTAGTGGTTAAGGGCTTGGCTGCTAACCAAAAGGTTGGCAGTTTGAATCCACCAGCCACTCCTTGGAAACCCTACGGGGCAGTTCTACTCTGTCCTATAGGGTTGTTATGAGTCGGAATCGACTCAACGGCGATGGGTTTTTTTGGTCATCATTTACTTACATTTTAACGTCTCTCCAGCATATGGTATGTGAAGTTTAAATCGGTCACAGTTGGGTCCAGGAGTCAAAGATGTGCAGCTTAGAAAAAGAGAGACAGAAACAGAAGATTTTTTAAAAGAAACCAAAAAAAGCCCGCATATTTATATTTAACAAAGCAAATAAAAAGTGATGTTAATAGATAAAAGATTTTTTAAAAATCACTGGCTTACAGAACAAATACAAGCCCTTAATGGTCACAGAGGCCAACACAATCAAGACATGCACTGTAACGAATAATTCATTTATCACACAATACAATCTACATGCCTTCTAACAACAAACACCAACACTGTTCAACTACTCCTTTCAAAGAAGTAATATCTCAACTTTTAAAACTAGGTAGTTAATCCAAAATAGGTCTGTAGTCTTTGAAGCCAAGAATTCTAAAAGAAGACTAGTTTTAATGATGCATCTGTGAAACCTCTTATAACACGGAGAAATCTGGAAGGCATTATGCTTAGTGAATTTAGTCAGTCACAAAAGGACAAATATTGTATAAGACCACTATTATAAGAACTCAAGAAATGGATTAAACACAGAAGAAAACATTCTTTGATGGTTACGAGGGTGGGGAGGGAGGGAGAGGGGCATTCACTAACTAGACAGTAGACAAGAATTATCTTAGGTGAAGGGAAGGACAACACACACTACAGGGGAAGTCAGCAAAACTGGACTAAACCAAAAGCTAAGAAGTTTCCTGAATATAACCAAACACTTCAAAGGACAGAGTAGCAGAGGCAAGAGTCTGGGGACTATGGTTTCAGGGGACACCTAGGTCAACTGGCATAACAAAGTTTATTAAGAAAATGTTCGGCATCCCACTTTGGTGAGTGGTGTCTGGGGTCTTAAAAGCTAGTGAGCAGCCATCTAAGATGAATCAGTTGGTCCCAATCCACCTGGAGCAAAGGAGAATGAAGAACACCAAAGACACAAGGAAAATATTAGTCCAAGAGACAGAAAGGGTCACATAAACCAGAGACTCCATCAGCCTGAGACCAGAAGAACTAGATGGTGCCCGGCTACCACCAGTGACTGCCCTGACAAGGAACACGACAGAGAGTCCCTGATGGAGCAGAAAAAAAGTGGGGTGCATAACTCAAATTCTAGTAAAAAGACCAGACTTAATGGTTTGACTGAAACTGGAGGGACCCCAGAAGACATGGCCCCTGGACTCTCTGTTAGCTCAAAACTAAAACCATTCCCAAGGCCAACTCTTCAAACAAAGATGAGACAGGACTATGGGACATGTCTTAGTCATCTAGTGCTGCTATAACAGAACTACCACAAGTAGATGGTTTTAACGAAGAGAAGTTTATTTGCTCACAGTCAAAGTAGGCTAAAAGTCCAAATTCAGGGCATCAGCTCCAGGGGAAGGCTTTTTCTCTTTGTCGGCCTTCTTCTCTTCGGTGTTCCCCTGGACTAGGAGCTTCTCTGCACAGGAATCCCGGTCCAAAGGATGCACTCTGCTCCCAGCACTGCTTTCTTGATGGTATGAGGTCCCCCTCTTCTCTCTGCTCACTTCTCTCTTTTATATCTCAAGAGATTGCCTCAGGACACAATCCAGTCTTGTAGATTGAGTCCTGCCTCACTAACACAACTGCCGCCCATCTTCCCTCATTAACATCATA